AACAACTTTTACTAATTAATTACTTGAAAAAATGCAATTTTTTGAAAAAATTAAGCATTATTATATGAATTTTTATACAGTTTATGTGTTAAAATAAAGAAAAACGCGAAACAGGTAACTAAAGCGCATTTATCTATCGTTCTAGCGCATTAAAAATTATCTTAATTATATAAAAGTCTACTTTTTATATAGATAAAAACCTTTTACAAGTGTTTTAAGCACTACCCCCTTGTTATTATTACGTTTCTAGTATGACAAAACTTACCTTTTAAAGTGAAAAGTGGAAGGAGAACTGTTCATGCCCACTGTATAGTGAGGTATATACTGGTATGATCACGTCTACGCAGACAGGTACGTCGTCGTCATTGATTGATACTGTTGTCCACCCTAGATGGCGTTGCAATAACTTCCTGTGACAAGGGGAGACCGAGAAGGGGGGTTTTTATGTTCTTCCTTTTACGAAATGCAACTTTTGTAATGTTTAGGAGCGATGATTTTGCTTGGAAATTCTCCATAAAAATTATGCTTTAATTGTTATTTTATGCTTAAAAATTGTTATAAAATGTTAGGAATTTAGTAAAATATACTATTTTAATTATAAAGACGAGCGAAGTTAGATTATTTTTAAATTAAAGATAAAAGTTGAGAAAATATTCTTCTGGTTTCTGTTCTATTATAAGGATGATATCCACCAATATCATCATCCTTATACTAAATTTAAGCGAATGTGTCGTCAGTGCCATTATCCTGGTGTTACTTTCATGTAATATGTCATGGATATATTTATCCCTGTATTACATTCAAGAAAGGAATAGTCGAACGATATGGTTTCCTAGCTCTTTTTTTTATATAAAATAGTAATTTATAGAATAATTTGGTTATTGGGGCATTAGGTAAATCCATATCTTTAAATACGTTGTTAACCTATTTCAGTTTATCATTATAAGCAATTTTTTGATATTGACCAAAAGAGAAAAATTTGACAATAATTCTTTCCATCAATGGCAATAGCTATTATTTGAGTTGTTACAATGATCTGTAAAGCTATATCGTGATTATAATTTAATTTAAAAAAATGCAAAACAGAAAATTTAAAGTCTGTACCATGTGCAGATACCATATTAACCCTCAATGCGTTAAAGTAATATCCACTAATGATAATTTTCACTTTCCCAGCTAATATGTATATAGGCCCTATAACAATGGAAAGTACTGGAATGGTGTCAAATTTCACTCTCTGGGTTTTTTGCAAATGTTGAGTTTTGAGATAACATGAGACCCAAAAAAGTCAAGAAAAAAACCGAGATTCTGTGTAGGTGTGTTGGCGTCTATTTCGCTTAATAGAGAGGTTGCAGCCGACGTTTTCAACGCGAAAACGTGTACGTCGGACGTTCAGCGCCGCTGTCCTGTAAGCCTAGAAGTTTGAAAATGGCGTTTGGAACGTCGAGCATGATTCCACTGACGTTCCAAACTCCATTGTCAAACGTCTAGGCTTACAGGAAAGCGGCGCTGAACGTCCGACGTACACGTTTTCGCGTTGAAAACGTCGGCTGCAACCTCTCTATTAAGCGAAATAGACGCCAACACACCTACACAGAATCTCGGTTTTTTTCTTGACTTTTTTGGGTCTCATGTTATCTCAAAACTCAACATTTGCAAAAAACCCAGAGAGTGAAATTTGACACCATTCCAGTACTTTCCATTGTTATAGGGCCTATATACATATTAGCTGGGAAAGTGAAAATTATCATTAGTGGATATTACTTTAACGCATTGAGGGTTAATATGGTATCTGCACATGGTACAGACTTTAAATTTTCTGTTTTGCATTTTTTTAAATTAAATTATAATCACGATATAGCTTTACAGATCATTGTAACAACTCAAATAATAGCTATTGCCATTGATGGAAAGAATTGTCAAATTTTTCTCTTTTGGTCAATATCAAAAAATTGCTTATAATGATAAACTGAAATAGGTTAACAACGTATTTAAAGATATGGATTTACCTAATGCCCCAATAACCAAATTATTCTATAAATTACTATTTTATATAAAAAAAAGAGCTAGGAAACCATATCGTTCGACTATTCCTTTCTTGAATGTAATACAGGGATAAATATATCCATGACATATTACATGAAAGTAACACCAGGATAATGGCACTGACGACACATTCGCTTAAATTTAGTATAAGGATGATGATATTGGTGGATATCATCCTTATAATAGAACAGAAACCAGAAGAATATTTTCTCAACTTTTATCTTTAATTTAAAAATAATCTAACTTCGCTCGTCTTTATAATTAAAATAGTATATTTTACTAAATTCCTAACATTTTATAACAATTTTTAAGCATAAAATAACAATTAAAGCATAATTTTTATGGAGAATTTCCAAGCAAAATCATCGCTCCTAAACATTACAAAAGTTGCATTTCGTAAAAGGAAGAACATAAAAACCCCCCTTCTCGGTCTCCCCTTGTCACAGGAAGTTATTGCAACGCCATCTAGGGTGGACAACAGTATCAATCAATGACGACGACGTACCTGTCTGCGTAGACGTGATCATACCAGTATATACCTCACTATACAGTGGGCATGAACAGTTCTCCTTCCACTTTTCACTTTAAAAGGTAAGTTTTGTCATACTAGAAACGTAATAATAACAAGGGGGTAGTGCTTAAAACACTTGTAAAAGGTTTTTATCTATATAAAAAGTAGACTTTTATATAATTAAGATAATTTTTAATGCGCTAGAACGATAGATAAATGCGCTTTAGTTACCTGTTTCGCGTTTTTCTTTACTTTAACACATAAACTGTATAAAAATTCATATAATAATGCTTAATTTTTTCAAAAAATTGCATTTTTTCAAGTAATTAATTAGTAAAAGTTGTTTTAATTGGATTTAAAATTGAAAGTATTTACTCTTAATTCTTATCAGAATATGTCAACTTGCAATTTTGATGAAAGTCGACACAAATATTTTTGTAAATGTGTATATACAGAAATTATATACAGAAATTTTAATAAAGTTCTGTATATAATTTCGTTTATTTAATCATATTTGTATATGATAAATAAACGAAATTTTAATAAAGTTCTGTATATAATTTTAATAAATTTCTGTATATAATTTCCTTTATTTAATCAAATTTGTATATAATAAATAAACAAAATTTTAATAAATTTTCCTTGATTTTTCTAATATTTCAATCAATTGTGATAATTTTTGAATAAATTTTTAGCATATATTGAATTTACTAATTGTAGCTGTATATTCGTTCAGTGAATAGTTGTCTCTTTATTCCGAAAATATTTTCGGATTAAAGAGACAACCATTCACTAAATTTTTAGCAATTTTTGATGCAATTTTGCTGAAGAATTTGCGGTTTACTGCTCAATTTTAATAAATTTGAACATTGAACAAATCAAAGAACAGTATCCAGCAATTATTTAAAACTTGAACACTTAAAACATTGCTTACAGCGATTCTTTATCACTAGAATAAACAACAAAGAAGGACAAAGAAAGGCCAATGATATATTGGATCTCAGGAACTTCTATGCTGTATTCTTGAGGCCTCACTACGACTCTGGAGTGGGGTGGCCAGATACGAGTCGAAAACTCCACTGGATTAGGGCCTCATGAACACTGCAGGAGTTCCTGAAGCCTCATTTTTACTTGGTCCACTCGTTTTTTAATACAAATTTTTCCTAATTATCCTATTCAGCATTAGTGGCCTGTGTTCAAAAGTCACTGTTACTTTTAACATCTAAGTGCATATTTTCCTATAAAACATCCCCTTTGCACCTTGTATGTTATTAGAAATAGATTTTAGTATAAAATTTAGTATGGAAATTTAGTATAATAATAATAATATTGGTGGATATCATCATCTTATAGTAGAACAAAAACCAGAGGAATGTTTTAAAACGTTTTCATATTTAAAACCCACATTGATACTAGTGATATTTCATTTAATAGTAACGTTATATAACAGCTATCAAACACAGCTTTTAAGAGAAATGTAGCATCATTGAACAGTGTACTAGACACGTACATAATTTATATAATTTATTAACTGTTCAAGTGTTCAGCCCTCGCTGTATACATCGTAACAGCCATTTACACAAATATATCACGATTAAATTCTGTTTGGTTATACGTATAGAGTTTCGGATGGGAGGCTGTTGGGGGTGGGGTTACACCCCACCAACTCATCACCCGGAATCAAAATCCTCCTACTATTAAAACATGATTAAAATGCGAAGGTTCAGCCTTCTATCTTAATTAGGAGTAGATGAAATTTGTTAATCGACATTAATGAAATTCACTTAAATTAGTTTGTGAATTTCGAATAAGATTATTGTTATTCCAAACGTAATAAATTGTAAATTCTATTCGAATTACTTAATTTCAATGTAGATAAATGTAAATTTTAATTTAATTAATAACTACAAGTATTTTAATTGAAACCGAGTAATTAAGATATGTTAAAATTTCAAGACAATTAGTCGATTTCATTCGAAATAATTGTAAATTTCAAGATAAATTTGTTCATTCAGATAAGAGAACACATGAATTTTACGATAGGAAAAAGTAAATTAATAAATTTCTATGCAGATTACTGATCGATTTCATTTAAAATAATAAATTTCAGATAAATCGCATCGATTTCAAGATAATTTCTGTACATTTCTGAAAGTGAAAAATTATTATTTTTTTTCTTTAAATATAAAAATAAAAAATTTTTTTTTCAAAATGACTTTCAGACAAATTAGCTAAAATATTTTATTTGTTTTTAAATTATTGCATTAGTAACATCACCAATTTTATATAAATTAAGCAAATTAGACTTTATATAAATTAGAAATAAATGTTTAACGCTTTTATTGAATTAAGAAATGGAATTTTTTGTGTTTTTATCCCATAAAATTAGATTTTTCGCCGGTGTAAGTGTATAAAATTTACAGAGGAAAGTGCTGTGTGTGTGTATGTAACGAAGTGAAAATTAGAGTAATTTGCAGTTCAAGTTTAATTGCTTTATATTCATTCAGTTTAATTAAAGTATTTAAAGTGAATGAATCGTATGAACGCGGAAAGTTATTCAAAAGATATTCGCGAGTTTACTTCACTCCGAGCGCGTTGTTTTGGACAATGAAAAATCCCCAAAACTTAATTTCAGGTAGGGACAATTTGTTAAATCATATCGTCTCAATCTTTTTATTATTTTTATAGAGAAAATATAATACGGTATGGATAGCAACAGCATGAAAAATAATGCAGCGTAGAAATAGTAATAAGGATAAGAATTTAGTATAGAATGTGAAAAGAATGTAGCATAGAAGTTGTATACAGTAGAAAGTAATGTAGCATTAAAGTTATATAGCATAGAAAACAATGTAGAATAGAAAACGACAGCAAAGAAAGTGATAGCATAGAAAGTAATGCAGCATACAAAATGATATCATAGAAAGTGTTAGCGTAGAAATAAATGCAACATAGAGTGATAACAGAAAGTAAAGTGTTTGCATGAAAAATAACGTAGCACAGAAAGCAATATTAATTAATAATATTAATTAATATTGCTTTATATTAATTAAAGCGTTACAACAAAAATCGTTCAACATAAAAAATAAAAAGTAACAGCATACGAACAAAACAGCGTAGAAAATAGTGGTTTAGAAAGAATTTTTGAACAATTTTAACTTTACAGTATAAAAACTAACGAAAAAAATAATAATAATAAAATTCTGTGAATTAAAATATGCATTAATGATGAGAGCAATAAAATTGAATGATGCAAAAATTTAAAATTCCAGATAAGAAAATGCATATTTGAATAATGTATAGTGCTTAAAGGGGTTGAAGTTTTATAATTACTTTATCTTGTTTTAGAATTTAAAAAAAAAGCATTTATTCCTCGAATAAAATAATTTTTTGAAGTTATTTTAGTATAAATATAATATATATATATATATATATAGTTTTATAATTTATTAGATTGTCTTGTCTTTAAAAGATAGTCCATAAGTAAGTTGTGACAACCTTGAAATGTCTAAGAGCTCGTCTGTCGACTTGTACTTCGTGATAGGCATAGTCACCACCCATTACTTGCTTTTAGTCGATTTTTCCGGATTTTTAAATAAATTTTGTTTCTTCTTTCTTCTCGTTTTTCTCTAATTTCCGAATGGAAATTATATTTCACCCCAGTGATTTTTTTAAAGTAAAAAAATGTAAAAATGCGTGATTTATATCGTTTCTGAAGGGAATTTTAATATTAAATTTTTTAGGGAATATTTGTAGACATTTTAGAAAAATATGTAGATTCTTTTAAGAAAAAGCTGTAGAATTTTTAGGAAATATTTTTAGAAGTTTATAAAAAACATTTGTTGACTTTTTAGGAGAAATTTGTACACATTTTAGGGAAAATATGAGTGCATATTTTCCTATAAAACATCCCCTTTGCACCTTGTNAATTTTATAAATATTTAAGTGTTTTTATACATTAAAAACGTTAAAAAATTATAGACTTTAAAAATATAAGAGAATTTTTATAGAACTTTTAGGAAAATACGCAAGTTAAAAACCTTAAAAATAAAGGAAAATTTTATAAAATTTTTAGGGAAATTTTCAATTTAAAAATCTTAAGAATTTCGGAATATTGTTTATAAATTTGATTAATTTGTTTAATATTGTAAAAATTAAAATAAATTGCATTAATGTATAGTATTACTCGAAGAAGATATATCATTAAAAGTGCCTAATTTTGTGAAATTTTTGGATGAAAATTCATTAAAATGGAATGGATTTTTATAAACTTTTAAGGAAACTGCTAGAATATAAATAATTCTATGGACATGTTAGAAGCACAGTTAGAAGCACAGCACAGTTTAAATAATTTTATATACAATATCAGAGGATAACCTACTAAACTGAAATATGTAAACTTAACAATTGGCATTTATTTTATAAAAATAAAAATCTCTACAATTATATAAAATTTATCAGAAAAAAATATATTATAGTAGCAAAACTACTTTTTATATGATAATCAGAGGTAAACCACTAAAATTCTATTTAAAAAGTTACCAAAATTTAATTGATTACCGTAGAAAACACCAGAGAGGAAAACATTAAATTAAATTAATTTCTATGAGAGGTAGGGGAAAAACTACTTATTCTATGGAAATATTAGGGAAAAAGCTACTAAAATTAAACTAGTTCTACAGAAAAAGTACCAGAGGGGGGTAAATTAGACTAATTTACATATTAAAAAAAACAATCACGGAAATTTCAGAAGTTAATTAATCAATTTAAATTTTATTTAATAATTTATTTTATAATTTCGTGATGAAAATGATAATAATAAAGATAATTTCAGACATTTTTTTTCCAGTTCGTAACATATATAATTTCATACGTGTGTAATGAAAAAATAATGTACAGCTCACACCCAGTTTGTGGACATTTTGCCAATATTTTTGTTATTTTTATCGAATTTTTTGCAATTAAATCCATCTTTAGAATATTATTTTAATCAGTTTAAACTTAAAAAAATTAATTTTTTCTACAAAATTTTATAATAATCAGTTAACGGCTAGATGATCCCAATTAAGTGAGCAAAGCGTCAAAATTAACGTATTTTTACGTGTTTGACTGTAAATAATGCATTTACTTTACATTCTTAGGATTATTTCTTATAGTTTTAGTATTATATAATTATATTTTAATAAATAATTTTAATATTAAAATGCTATATCATCGTATAGATTTTGTGTGGTTAAATAGTAGTACATAATTTTTAATTTGTATAATAATATTTGGCCTTAGGCCAGATATACAGACTATATTTAGTTAAAACTGAATGCATATTGTTACTTTAACGCATAATTTTTTTCATGTTTCCTTAGTAACTCGCGTGAAAGGTTATAAATTTCGCATATGCAATTACGTATCGGTAGATTTAAATTAATTAAAAGATTTACGAGGGTCAAGTCATGTTTTAAAGTAAATAGACTCATAAAGTTAGGTGTTAATGAATTGAAATACCTGCCATATTGAATACAAGATGGAGGATGGAAACTTAATCTAAGTGACAATCAACACGTGAGAATAATTTAAATTTAAATCCTTCGTCCATATAGTAACGGTATTAAAGAATCCGCACAGAAATGAAGACGGATTAAAAATTACTTATCTTATAAATTTTTTTGTACGTTAGAGAGTTTAATAAACTAATTTATTAACATTAATTATTAATATCGCAGTAAGGGGCATAAAAAATCAGAAACATTCAAGTTAAGTTTCCTGTTCTAACTTGAGATTTGTTTTAAGTGTTTTAATTAAACAAGAAAAATTTAGGACAATTTGTGTTCTACATCGTATAATGCTATTCAACTACACATTCCTACTTATAAAACGATTAAAATCGCATGTAGAAGAGTATGTAGATAATAGAAACAAATTAAAATTGGATCGGAGGACGAATCATGTGACAACTTTGACCCAGACAAAAGACAATCCTGACCCAGAATTCGTTTTATCTCATTGATTAACTTTTGATGAAACGCAGAAAAATATGTTTTATTAACATTTACACGCATGTTATTGCTCTTCGATACTTTCGATTATTGTTCTTTTACATTTTTATTAAATAATCTGCAGTTTGCTGTCAAGAAAGAATGCATGTCGTAATTCTAGAACATTCAATAAACCATTGTTATAATAGATTATTTTTTCCTCTTACAATAATCAGTTTCATTTAGATAAAAAGTGTCAGTTTCTGTAAAGTCATGCTTATTCTAGAACATTCAAAATACCGAGCATTATTGTAATAGATTATTTATCTACCAATAAGAAAAATAATCTTTAACAACAATGAACAGTTTCTTGAACTGTCTAGATTCTAGAGCAAAATATTCAGTTATTAAAATAAATTCTCGCTTTCTATAATGTTGAGAAGCATTCTAGAAACGTTCTAGATATTAAAGTTGTTTAGATTAATTATAATAGATATCAAATTATAATTTTTTTCTATAATAATAACATATTTATTTTAAGAATTTTATATAATAGTGTTCTATTTTTGATTTTATAATTGAAATTAACATTTAAAAAATTTCTTCTTACCTGTATACAATTTAAAATTCAAAATTATAGATTTTTCAGCTCCTCTGTGTCATTCAAAATTAAATCTCCACAGTTACCTTCTAGTTTCTCCTGTACTTGAATTCGGATCCAGTCTAAAATCTCGTAATTTTATGTAAACATAACACACTTGTAAGACCACTTTAGTACAATTTTAGTATAATTTTTCGATGATTTTGCCGCAAGAATATAATTTTATTTATTTATATATGTATATATCGACTGAGCGATATATCCTTATATAGAATTTTATGAATTATTTATACAGAAGACTGCTACTGTGTACACTTATAAATCTGAAAGTTGCTGATATGCTATCTCTATAATCGTAAAACACGAAGCTACTGCTTGTAAACTGTATTAATAAGTCAATAAAATGTTTTAAATTTCTACCCGCAATCCATATACCATCCAATCCATGGACCATCTAAGTAAATCTAAATGTTTTGTCATAAAAATAAAAAAAAATAAAAAAAATTATAACAGTATATCACAGATAGACATACAGACAGACACAATTAGGTTTTGGTTGCCTACGTTTGGCACGAAGTTAAAAAGAATTAGAAAAATCTAACATATTTTTATACTTTCGAGAAGAAACTTTACTGAAATTTCTAAAACACTGTTTGAAAATTAACATTTCTTTAATAAATTACAAAATTATTCTACTTTAAGACACGTAATTGAAGAGATATTGCAATATATTAGTTGCAACAGTGGTTAATGTTTGTAATGTTTTTAAAATTTTCCATATTTTAGAAACTGATAATTTATTATAGGTTAGCGGATGTTTACTTTATTCTAGAACCTTTAAAAACGCTTTCGTTGTTATAAAATATACACATTTTACTGTAGAACATTCGAGAATTGTCGTTGTAAAAGATGTATATTTTGCTTCAAGATATTCGAGAACTGTCTATTGTTGAAAAAGACGTAGGCCTATATTTCATTCCAGAAATGTTCAATTTTTCACTGTTAAAAGGACGTATATTTCACTCTAGAATATTCAATTTTCCATTGTTGGAAAAGACATCTGTTTCACTCTGAAATATTCAAAGTTTCATTGTTGTAATAGATGTATATTTTACTCTAGAACATTTTATCCATTGTTATAAACAATGTTGTGCTTGGTTTTTCAGATTTTTACTGGTTTGTTTTTGGCTCTGCATTACACAGCAGATAGTATTTCTATCTGCTCTAGTATCTAGTCTCTAGTATTTCTCATATTTGTCGAGATGTAGAAGAAGGGTGGATTTTGCGGAATCTTTATCTTATTGGGCCTAGAGTGTTTTTGTTTGTCTTTTCCAAAGAATAATAGGATCAATAAAAAGAGGTATTAAAATTACAATAATACTTCAGTCAATAATATAGTAATAGCCCGGACAACACGGGAAGAGACAATAAAAACAGAACAGCAGTAACCATTACAGATCAAACATAAAGGGAGACGATCTAGCCCCCAATGCCTCTTCTCCGCATATTAATAATAGTAGTAATAAAATTAATAGCACCCAAAATAGAAAAAACACCAGGCATGTGATGTTTTTTGTAGTTAAAAAGCTTCCATTTATATTAAGACAATACGTAGCAATTGTAACAAAACAATTTATCATTCATAAGATTTTCTAGGAATAAGATTTAATGTTTAAATCATATACCTAGAACTAGGCTATAATTGACACACATCTGTAAATATTTATGCTATTATAAAATAATTTTAATTGTGGAATTCAGTTTTGTCTATGTGACTCGACCAGACATCGATGGACCTTACTCGATGTTCTTTACTAATAAAGTGTAAAAATTTTTGTAATTAATGTCGAAAAAATTGTAAATCGCGAAAGAATTTGGCCTGTCGAAAGAGTAGTTTGTAATTCAATACTTACACTTCCCTATACATTGCAAAAATTTTTTATTATTTTGTAAATTTAAATTTCTAAAATGGTTCATAAAGCACAGCTAATGAAGTCGGAGGAAATATGACTTAATGGAATAATAATGTTTCAACTTACGGTTTTGGTATCGATTCATTTCGAACAATTATATAAATAAATTAATTTTTATATGTATATTAAATTATTAATTTTTTATAATAATATATTTAAAACTATACAGCTACAGAAGAAACCACATATAGACACAATTAGGGATCATTTCAGAAACTAGTTAAATAATTTCGAGGACATCTCAAAATCCATTCCAAATACCGACATTGAGTAAGTTGGCCCTATTTATAGTTAAAAAAATTAAATAAAATATAAGCTAAAACCCTAAATCCCCCAAAATCTCTAAACAATATCTTTGGGGATATTATAGGAATTTTAGGAATATTTATAGCAAAAAATAAAATAAAAGTAAAATAAAAATCTAATCTAAAAACTCCCAAATCCCCCAAAATTTCCTCAAAATATGTTTTGGGGAAATAGCCCCAAATATAGTTTAAAAAACGAAGATATAATCTAAAAATTCCCAAAAAATAAGAGAAAATCGTATTAATTAGGGTAAAAATAATTCCTGAAAAGTTAATTTTAGTTTCTTACAACTATAAAATTTGAATAGAAATAAAAAAAAGAAGAAAAACGTGAAAAATATAGATTTTTTTTCTAGAGTCTATTTTAGAATTTTGACTCCAAATATTATAGAAAATTCAAACATTTTAAGCAATTTAGGATATCGTTCGAAGAGTTTGATGGCCTTCGTAATAACTTTTTATGGTTTATGCTTATTTCCACTTTTCTCTGTGGAATTGCACAAGATTCTTGCGAATCGGGACAACGTTTCGACTTGTTCTTTAGTCTTCTTCAACACCTTCGAAACTAAAAGAAACAAGTAGAAACTTCAAGTACTTTAAGCTATAAACAAACGAGTCTACGTCAAAATTTAATAAAATTTAACACAAAAATTCGTACTTGCGGTTTCATGTAAGGAAACTTGAACCATAAATAGACATCATATGAGTGAATTTTGGTGTTTTAAATAATTTAAATATAGAGAAAGTTTTATTTTTCATGAAAATAAAATATTTCACTTGATTTAAGTGTTTTCCAGTGTCCTAAACAGGATTTTAGACCAGTTTTGTCGTCTACGACCAGTTGTGGTATTAACTGCAGCTTAAAGAAAAATAAAAACTTAAACGTGTATCTTTATTTCAAAACTTTATTAAATTATTAATTTTCTTGTTTATTGTCTTAAGGATATAATAATTACTATAGAAGATATCGACGTTATCATCACCCTTCACGTCGAGTCCAGTCGCGTATATCGCGTCGCTGATAAATATGTCACCGAGCAACTGATGTCGAAGACATGTTATATTTTTTACTTAATGTAAAAAAAATATTAAGTACTGTATATACATATATACATATATAGCTATAGTAAATTTTCGTTCAATTTTTCTTAAAATGGTACAAAATTAATCAAAGTTTTACTTAAATAATAAATTAAGGCTTTATAATGTGTTAAAAACCAAACATTATAATATTTTTATGTATTTTTTTATTGTAGATAATAATCTAAACAGATATTTTTAAAAATTCTATTTTAGATTTTTTAAAGAATTTTTGAAAAAATAAAAAAATGTCGTTTCTTCTATCTGGAATTGCTAGCATCACGCTATGGATGACGACGTGGATCTTGTCGTTCGTCGAATGTTTGTTACACTATTTTGTTATAATTCTTGTGGATTCGGCAGAGAAACCGTATCAATTGATCCTTTTACTCTTCTTGCTAATAATTATTTACTATTCTTCAGTTAATTACGATAAAACTGTGGTAAGTGGTCTTTCAAAAACACATTCCTTGCTTATCTTTTATTATTCTTTAGTTATCGGTGCTGCAATGCGATTTCTTCTTTACTTGCTTCTTTCTGCTGATTAAGCAAATTCTTTTAACCTAAATTATTTTCTACCTTTTTCTACAGGATATGACAGAGATAGGTTACGATTATTTACGTCCTAAAGCCAGGAAACGACGTCAGAAATTATCTTTGCTGGTACGAGAAGTTAACGAAACCAGAGATCCTGGTGAACTCCCTCCTGTATATCCTAATGGTTGGATACCTTTAATGGAATCTAGGGATCTTCAAATTGGAAAATCTGCACCTGTAACTGCCTTAGGTAATAGTGAAAATTATTTTTTTAAAAATTAAATTATTATCCTCTCATTCCGTCGCGTCTAGTTGCGTTGTTCGTGTCGCGTCATTGATAAATATGTCACTGAGAAACTGATGGAGAAGTCTTGTTATAGTTTTTACTTAATAAAAAAAATATTAAAATGTAATAATTTCAAGAAAATTTTTGTTAAACTTTTCTTAAAATGAGAAAAAATTAACAAAAGTTTTATTTAAACAGTAAAGTAAGGATTTATAATGTGTTAAAAACCAGAAATCCTTAAAATCTCTGGTGCCTTTAAAGCATTAGATTTCAAGCCATCTTGTGAAGAAATCATTCATTTTGAAGTTTTAGAATTATCTATTCTAAAACAATAAAATTTTGGATAAAGAATGCGTACTTATCTATAAAAACTGAAGACTAATTCAATTTTATGAAGAACCGCCGTGTTGGTCTTAGAATATACTGTATTGTAGAAATATAGGTAGCATGACGAATGGGAAACCATTGTGGAAACTTAAACGGCAGATTAAAATTCTTGATAAGAGTAGTTAATGGTTTCACCTCTTAAAGTTGATTTCTTCCTCGAATGTTTTTTGGTATAAATAACATTTTAATTGATAAACAGAATAATTCATTTCTTGTCTTGATAACTTGTTATATGGAATTACGTTGTCATTCTCTTGAGCAATGTTTAACATCATAAAACTAAATTATTACTTCCTAAAATGTTCTTTTTAAATATAGAAATAATTCTTATATATTCGAATATATGATTTATTAAATATAGATTTATTGTTGATTCAAAGCGGCAATGAAATTCATAAGATACAGCTTAGGAGGTCCTGGCAGGCACAGGTAGGCACAGTATAGTGTCTCATGCTTTTAAATTTATTTGGTGGAGAAGGGCCACATATATGTTAATCAGTCAAACTTCTGAACAACGTCCAATGACCGAAACAAAAAACTGGCCGCCGTTTAAAGACTCGAGCGTATCTTAAATTCACAACAAATCTAATCAGGTCTTGTTTAAGAGCATCAAGTTTAAATTGTCTTTTCTAATGAAGATAAATAATGCTTTTATTAATTTGTACAGTTTTAAGTATACTTTTCCGAAAATCAACTTAATTACCCTTAATTACATCATTGATTATCCTTGTTTATATAAGTGAATGTTGAAAATATAGAAGATAGTTGATACATACAATGAATATGTATTGAATTACTGTAACTGCACTCGATAATTTTTGTATTTGTATACTTATTTCCAAGTTTTTCTGTGTATTTTTCGTTTATAGTTAAATAGAGGAAATATGTAATTATCTTTAATTTTTGTAGGGAAGAGAGTTTTTTGTTTTTAATTTCCAATATGTCATTTAATCCTGTGTCTCCTACGTCATACAGTTGATTAGTATTGCTGTTTTTTATTGCAAGTATCCTTGAACACAATTTTCTCAATTGCTAAGCTTAATATTCGTTTTTGTGATTCAAATGGTAAAAAAATATTACATAATGCCTGTCTCTTTCATGCGATATATCTCAGGCAAAATTTGGGAAACTAAACTCTTTCCGCCCTGAGAGCACTATAAAGTGTTGTCAGATCTATAATGAGCACATGCCCATTATAGATTCAGCTAAAACCATAATAAGAGCTGTCATAGTGAGATAGGAGAAGATTGCTGAGGAATAGGAACTTTGTATCTTTAGTATAAGCTCCTAACACGAGCTCTCTACGATCATGAACGTGTCCTTCTCTACCCCTCTGAACAGCTATGGTTGTATCAAAGATTTTGCATGTAAAATCTATGTTGCAGCTGGATCGACGTATACACATTTCATGAAATCATATATAATTTATACGTTTTTTAAATAGAATTAATAAAGATTCAGAGCAAAAATATGATCGTGAAGTTGAATTTTGAAACGATGTTGGGGTTGGAAGCGGATGTTTATTATGTAGAAAATTGAACATTTATCCTTGGTTTCAACGCAATTTTTATCTTGCCAGTTATTTTAATGAGGAGGATTTTGTAATTTTTGTAAAATTAAATTAAATTCGTTCTGACAAGAAGTCAGCGTCAAAAATGCTGTAATTACATAAATTAGCGAATCTAGTTGACGTAATTTAGATATATTACTTTAAAAAAAAACTGAAATAAAAAATGAATAAAAACGAGGAAAAAAAATATGTAAATTAATGTTTAAGCCCCAATTTTTTAAATATAGAAACTATCTCGACTGTCCAAAACTCAGTTAACCACCTATATCAAAATCAGATATTCTCGATTAACCGATTATTGGGCCACCCCAGATGCGAGCAAGTTTCATTCTATTAAAAAAATTAATTTTTTTGAAAATCCTCATAAAAGTTTTACTTGCGTGATGACTCGGTAGATCGGCTTTTTAGGATCTTCAATTCAATTTTTAATTTATATAATTACAATGGAAGAACTAAGAGGAATTGTTTTATTTATTTCTTTGAGAATCTCTACGCTGCATTCTGAGAATCCCTCAATTATTTTATTTCAGGTCACCAGTTTGTAATATTCCGTGGTAAAACTGGTAAAAGTTTCGTTTTAGATGCCTACTGTCCGCACTTAGGAGCTCATTTGGGGGTGAAGAGTAAAGTGTACGACGATTGCATAGAATGTCCCTTTCACGGTTGGTTATTTTCTGGTAAAGATGGTTCCTGCCTAAAAATACCGTATACTGATAAAGGTAACGTTTTGTTTATATAATGTCTTAAAGGTGATCTAAAAGATCTACCAAGTTTAATGTTTTATTAAAACCGACGACGGGTATGGAAATCTTCAAGCCATTTGCGATATGTTCAATATATTTGCCCTTAGTTGATCTTAAATGATCTTGGCTTTATGAAAATTAATTGACCTATATATTCTCCAGATTTCAATCCTTGAATCCTTTTCATAGGGACATCTAAAGATACAGTGTATCAAAATAAGTAACCAAATGGATAACAACACTGAACACTATTCATGGTTTCGCGCCTGACCAACCAGTTAGCCGCGTGGAATTTCCTGGCTTTACTGTACGTATCTAACATCCAAATAAGGCTAGTTTCCCATAGAAGTGTCTACCGGAGGACTTCTATGGGAATGCTATGCACAAGTGGACGATCTGTCACGTGTTGCATTGCTCTATCTCATCTACAAAAGGGCTAGAGAGCATCTCTTCTAGAGTATTTTAAAAGTCCAATCGTTTAACTCGAGTTTTTCAGAGAAGCCCTTGACTTCCTGTACAAGTGAAGTTCTTTAAAGTGTGATGCCCAACTTTGGAATAATGTTGAGGTTAATTTTGGGGGCAAACATATTGAAAACCCGGTAACTATGATGAAAAGTTAATTTGCTAATCTAAATGATATTCTAGTAAGATCTGTATATACGCCGATTAATTGCAATAGAGCATTAAACGTAGGTATTCTTTGGACCATCCTGTTTTAATATTATTAATCAAAATTATTAATTAACGTAGCAAATTTTACACCAGTTCCAGAATTTGCTAAAGTTAAAACATGGACATCACTTGAACAAAATGGCTTTATATACGTTTGGCATCACGCGGAGGGTCATCCACCATCTTGGAAACCACCCATTATTCCAGAGATTGAGCAAGGATTATGGCGTTATAAAGGTCGTACTCAACATACGGTCAATTGTCATATACAAGTAAGTTGAAAAATTTCAGGTTTACCCTTTCGTTTCAGTATATGATGAAGTCTTTTTGCAGGAGATACCAGAAAATGGAGCCGATATAGCGCACTTTAATAACATACACCAAGCCAGTATTTTTTCTGGTAATAATTTCCATACCGATAACTGGTGGAATTTTTGTAACCATATTTGGTCGTCTTCTTGGAAGGCAGATCCTGAACCAAATCAACATATGACCACTGTTAAACTCACTAATTATGTAAAAATTTTTGGAATTTCTTTACCTTGGTTTAAAGCCTCACTGGACGTAAAACAGGTAATCTAAAAATTTAATAAATTCCATAAATACAAGTTATTTTTATAGATTTTTCTATACAGTACAGGGCTTTCGAAATACAGTATAGTTAACCAAAACTCAGTTAGACGAAATACAATAAACCTAAATATCAGTTAACTTCGTTAACTGTTATTTGGGCCACTCTGTTTAATCTTAACAAAATGTACTAAACATTTTAGTACCTGATAAATTACTAATAAATAAAGTAAATTTAGTTTAATTTCCAGTTTTTTGAAATCAAAAAAAGATCCAAACTAGTTTGTAAGCATTGAAAATACAGAATAATTGTAATTAAAGTATCTATACTGAACGCTGTGTACAGCGATATTTAGCAGTCCAAATGCAATAAAATTTGGTACGATGACATTTCAGGGTATGCGGAAGACATTTCTGTAAAAATATTAGTACGAAAACTCGCCACTGTGGAATTTTTAGCACTGTAAGCAACATATATTTTATTTGTACATATATTTTTAACACTGTAAGCAACATATATTTTATTTGTACATATATTTTTAACACTGTAAGCAACATATATTTTATTTGCTATACAGAGATCATAGCGACAGGAAATACTACTCAATGTTAATTTCCATTCTGAGGGAATAAAACCTGAACAACCCACCATATGTTATCTTGTGTGATGCTTCTAACATGCGCTGTGGTTCTGTCTTCGAAGGCTGCCAGATTTGCAATATGTCTTCGATAAACCAAACTTTTGAAGTGTCTCCGCAAACAAGAATCACACAGAACAAGAATCGGATAACGAGGTGATCAGGTAGTAGGAAACGTACAACTAATGACTCTGTTATCAGTATAATATCTTAGAAACTACTGTACGCAACATCCGGTATGCATTATCGCTATTGCAGTTGGAGTACGACATAAGCATCTGTGTTGAGCATCCCTCGGTATCTCTGTGTCATCACAAAGCGTGTCATACCTATAGGAATAGTTTCGAAGAAGAATATCTGTAAGATAAATTAGGTCTGATATGGATTCACAATCAAGTTTCGAAGAAGAATATCTGTAAGATAAATTAGGTCTGATATGGATTCACAATCAAGTTTCGAAGAAGAATATCTGTAAGATAAATTAGGTCTGATATGGATTCACAATCAAGTTTCGAAGAAGAATATCTGTAAGATAAATTAGGTCTGATATGGATTCACGATATCAGACTTCATTTAAGCGAGTGTAGTAGAATCTGCTGGAAAACCTCAGACTTTCCCATGCACTAAAAGCTACATTTACGGTGTTAACTGTGTCTACTAAAGTAAAGATGAGCCTTGTCGTTCCACAGGGTCTTCCATGTCCATGACACACCATTTCTATTCTGGTAAGGACGGTCAATGAAAAGGTCACTCCGGCAGCAGGCAACTACTTGTTGTAACTAATCTTATGCAGATAACAATGCACCAACTTTCCAGCAACTGTTATAACATCAACGATTTGTGAAGTAACATGTTTGCGCCATCGACGGGTAAATTCCAGCGTTCAAGCTTCCTTGAGTAGGGTGATTATTCTCCTGAGAACTTGAAAAAAGTCACTAGCCCACGGCATGAATTCTTATGACAGCAAAATTCTCCAAGTGCATTTAAGCATCTGTGTTTCACAAGAAATGCGCCATTGCAGATGATAATAATGATATTCAGCAATTGTGACCACTTTTATACCGGGAACGTGGCTGCAATACGTGTACTTACGCAAAGGAAACTGCTTTTTCGTTGCTTGCGGCAGTAAAAGTGCCGTAGTGGTGAGTTTTGATGCTAATTATTTTTACAAAAATATTTTCTGCACATCCTGAAATATTATTTCGATTTTTATTGCATTGAACTCATAAATATTTTTGCATACAGTCTTGAATAGAGTGTACTTTAATTACGCTTACTCGGTGTATGAAATTAAAGATTTTCTGCTTTCGTTCTTTCAATTGGCTAATGAATTTTAAAAATATATATATCGTATTTACTCGGATATAAGACGAGGTTTTTATTCATTTTTCACTGCTTCAAAAACCTAGGTCGTCCTATACGTGCGAACGAAGGATTCTTTGCGTTTTTGCAAAAATTTCTGTAAACCGTATATACTTCCTGCTCTCATTACAGGTCTACAGCCTATTTATCGTAAGTAAACTAATGAAGACACACATCCCTTTGTTTATTGGTTTAATCCTACATCCATCAATTAAAAACCGCGTTGCATCTCATTCGTTCGCACAGAATAGTTTCTCGTTATTTATAAAAACATTAATGAACTACAGATCGCTTAGCAATGATTATAAATGTAGTTATTTTATATTAGTTAAATTGTTATTTTTAATGAATATTAGCACATTCTGAATCATTAAAAATAAACTTTTCCCAACACGCGCACTATAATGTTTTGGTTTTGTTTTCCATTCATCACGTATTAAGGCAAACATGGTTGTTTGCCTTCATACATGCATTTGATAATATTTTGTGATTAAACGAAATAAAATTAGAATTGTATTAATAAATTTAATTTTCTTTATTTTGATCTCTAAAGTCACACCTCGTCCTTTACGCGAGATCGTCTTATATCCGAGTAAATACGGTATTAAACGAACGAATAAGTACACCTGTTTCAGGTGTACTTATTTTAAACCAATATTTCAACTGCTATTTTATAAATATACTGTATTACGTTATTTATAGGCTCTAATAGCGAAAACTTTATCCCAAATTCTTAATGACCTTAATATATCAATGTAAATGTCTTAAGTTTGCGTGCATGTGCGATCAATGAACGTCTTTACGTCAATTTTTTGTTATTATTTAAAAATTCCTCTTTATAAAACTAAAAACGTGACGTCAGATTTACGTAAGAATTATTTAATTAGTATCTAAAACATGGTAAATGAAAGAACTTGAGCAGTTTTCGTAACCAATTCAAACTTCTGTACTAGTTCCTAAACACAAGAAAACACAGACGAATATAGAATATATATTGTATTGCATAATAGTTGACCGTCAAGTAAACACTGTTATCATTTGTAATCCGTGGTATACTCCATATTGAATTTGTATAAGGTAACATAAACCTGAAGCCACTGCAGCACGCAAAGAACACGACCTTAATAGAACCTTATTGACATTCATAAATATTAAATAAACTTACTAGTTACTTGTCGTATATCATCCACATAACAAGTCGTTACGTGGATTTTCTTTTACGTTTGATTTAGTAACTGTAAATGGCTAGTTTGAAGTTGAAACTACAAGAAGATAGCAAAGTGTAGGCGTACTGTACACAGATGTACATATTTTTGCCATATTATCAGAAGAAAATGGAGAAAAACTCACCATTATGATAATTTACGCTAAAAATACAATTTAAATGACATTGTTATTGATTTTTAAATAAGAATTAATATTTAATATGCATTAATGTTGCTTTCGATATAAAGAAGAATAGAGAGATTGCGGCCGACGTTTTCAACGCGTAAACGTGTACGTCGGACGTTCCGCGCCGCCTTCCTGTGAGCCTAGAAGTTTGACAATGGCGTTTAGAACGTCGAGCACGATTCTACTGACGTTCCAAACGCCATTATCAAACTTCTAGGCTCACAGGAAGGCGGCGCGGAACGTCCGACGTACACGTTTTCGCGTTGAAAACGTCGGTCGCATCTCTCTAATAACTGTTCCTTACACCCGAAAGGTCATAGTCGAATACACAATGAATTTCTAATGGGATATGCTAACAGACACAACCATACGAAGAAAACAAACACTACAGCCATGTTAGTTTCGTCTAACGTAAGTAGTCTACACTTATATCAAAATTTATGACCCTGCATCACACTTCCAAGCCAGCCAAGTAAACAATAGCTGCTGAAGGGCTGTCTAGCGGACATTTTGCGAACAATCATATTCTAAGCTATTCAATTTACAGTCCGGTTGTAACAATTGGTACTTTCAAATAAATTGCATCACGTAATTGGATCCAGTTCCAAACATATTCTTGAGTACGAATTATAAAACATTTCCAAAAGTTTTCAATGTTGGTATGGATGACAAAAGGAAAGAAACACAAAACTTTAAAAGTGTTTATCTAGTTGTTACAATTAAAATAAAATGCAAGGAAATGTCATTATTTAATAATTATTTCAGTCAAAAAACATATCTTGTGGAAAACTCGACATTAATTTGAAATGTGACACAACTTTGAAATGTAGGGCAGTGTTAATCTTTAATATTCATGTACTTTCTCTAGGTAATTTCTTGAATTTTTAAGAAAAATTTTCCAGAATTTCATCTTTTTTCCTTTTTTATTCAGTAAACGGAAAGATTTATTTATTAATATAACAAGCATGTTTTATAATTTCATAAATTATTTCTCCACCCAAGTAAGATATGTACAGTACTTTGCTGGCACTAAGCCATGTTCCATATATTTCCAGAAGCGGTGTTGATGTTTCTAAGGCTGTTTACAAACAATATCTTTACTTCGAATAATAAATTAATATAATATTTTAAAACTATTCACGTAATATGTTTAATTTATTAAATTTCTTTATAATCGATATTATATTGATTTTAACAGGTTTTTTTGATAAATTAAAACTAATTACAATTAAATTACAATAAAAACGATTCTTTTAGACATAAAAGCAAAGTTAAATATTAATTTATAATTAGGAATATTAATTAACGCATGGGATCAAATTTGAATAATTTAAAGTAAAACGAGCTATATTTGGAAGTGGGCCAATAAAATTTATGATTGAAAACGTGTAATCCAATTAAATGACGCGAAAAAAATTGGCAAAAGTCCACGTCTCTGTAATGTTTTCATAAGAATTTCTTCCCACCCCTTTAATTTGATGGATGGATATAAAATAATTTTTTCTTTCTTCCTTCCTAATGACTTCTCTTAATGGAAATGTCGGAGAAATCATCACTATCTTCATTTATTTACGAGCGGAGGTTGCGCATTTTTATCCAACGTAGGCGTATTTTCTTCGTTTTTTTAAAGGACTTATAATTCGACACAGTCATTGAGGAAATCACTAGACTATGGAACTGTGTCAGTAATGGAATTCGTTTCTTTCTCATATGTTACTGTAGAAGGAAGTGAAATGTACTGTTAATGAAAGATTTTCGAATGTAGCCTGTATTGACAGGTAATAAAATGGATGATGGATGATGAGTTGATTGAATATTAGCCACTGCTTCTAACTGTAGGTGTATTATTCTCTGTTATAAGTGACTTAAAGGGGTGGATATGTTGTAGTGGTGCATTTTGTTTTTTATATTTAAATTTATCTGTTTATGGCATTGTCGTGGTCACAGTGTGAGGCATTTGAAGACACGTTTGTACTTGAATTTGCGGTGTCGTTGAATTTCGTGTTCTTTTCATTAAAATTTTCTACTGGATATTTCATTTTTTAAAAAGTTATATACTTTTCTACAGACCTGTTTCACTGTATTTTATTGAAAACTTTCGAAAGAAATTCTAGATTTTTGCAATGACCACAAACATTAATTTTAGCTCAGTTATTTTCATTTGGAAATAGTAAATTAATAAGAGAATTTTATTATTAACAACAAATGATCTAAATAACATGCAACTGGTTTAAATGCAAAGCATTTTTTGATTCATAGAGGATCGACATTTTAATTCTAGGATCTTTTTCTAACTCAAAGGTGACGGAGAGATCACATTACTATTCATGTTGGGAGCTTTTGGGGATCACAATGCTTTTGATTTTTCTAAACGAAAGGAGAAGAATAACAGAATTCGATGATTAGAATGATATTCAATGTACAGTACAAACTGAAAACAGTCATATATATATAATATATAATTTAATACATAAAAATGTTTTAAAAAATAAAAATAATAAACATATGTGGTTCTCTGCAAAATTTACGAGAAAATGTTTTTAAAAATTTTAATTGATTTTTAACGAAGATTAGTTAGAAGTTAGATATATATCTATCTGAACGGTTATTGAAAAGTAGGCGAATCCGATTTTATTTATTGACAGGAAGTTAATTTTTCTATTAATTTTCGTTATGATTTCTATAAAATTTTTAAGGATTTCTCTTAAAATTTTGTCAAATTACATGCCAGACTTTCTAGAATATAATTTTTATTTTTATTTATTGTAAATATAGGTAAATTTAGGAGAGAAATTCAACTTTTATCAAATCAAAAAATTGTTTTATTTTCAGAAACATAAGTTATATGAAATTACATTTATGCTCAATATACTGTCGATAACTTTTTTGCAAATGTTGATTTTCATTTATATTCCATATCACTTTCTCTCATAAGGAATCAGCGATAGTCTCCCATCATTCCAAGTTTTCACCTGTCTTGATACCATTGTTCCATTGTTCCATATTGGTGGAACCTCTCCCCTTGCTCATCACTGACGGCACCCAAATTTTCGGAGAAAAAATTTAAATGTGAATGTAAAAAGTGTAGTTTAAGGGACATTCTACAAATCATTTTATTGTAGTTTTTCGAATAATTCTCCTACATTTTTCGTAGTTTTCTGTTTTTCTGTTGCTCAAAAACCGTGTTACAACTCCTTTAAAAGACTTTTTGAGCAAACTGTGCATTCTGCAGTAATTTTCTGATTTGAGATCAAACAAATACTTGTTCTTTAAGCTTAGCATCACTTAGTTTTGAAAAAAAATCTGTTTAAGGTATTTAAAAGTATTGTAGTTTTCAAGTAATTCTCCTACAAGTTTTTCGTAGTTTTCTGTTTTTATGATGTCAAAACTGTGTCACAACTCATTTAAAAGACGTTCATGCACTTAGTCGTCATTCAATTTTTTAGCAAACTGTACATCCTGCAGTAATTTTCTGATTTGAGATCAAACAAATATTTGTTCTTTAAGCTTAGCATCACTTAGTTTTGAAAAAAAATCTGTTTAAGGTATTTAAANCTTTAAAAAACTTTTTTGAGTAAATTGTGCATCATGTAGTAATTTTGCATAAAATTTCTCTAAAATATTACAGTTGATAATAAATAAAAAAAATGCATATTTCAATGCTAAACCCCCCGGTTGGGGGCATGAGAGCATGGCCCACTTTCACTTCAAGGGCACGGGTTCGCGGCACGCTCGTGCTTAATGCAGTCTCCACCCTTGGCTCACTTCGTTTATAAGAAAAAAATTAAATGGAAACAGAAACGATTATAATTATGTTCTTTCTTTGTGTATCTATATTAAATCACTATCATAAACATCCTAAAACATTTTAATTCCACTACCCAGTAGTGGCCGAACGGATAATTCTACTGTGGGTTCGCACCTGATCAACACGTGGTCACGTGGAGTTTACCGAAATTTTCTTCACCTAAATAGGACCACTTTCCCGTAGAAAGTTCCCTTGGTAGGTTGCATTTCCTTTTCCATCAGTCATTCATAATACTTCTTTGATAAGCTGTTCAGTATGAGAATGACGAATGACTAGATTTGAGTTGCTTAGTTGTATGTGACTTAAAATCACCAATAATTTTATATTAGTTCTGCGCGAAACAATGCAATTTTAACAATTTACCGGCATTTTACTTATAGTATCATGTGCTTTTAATTATTTTAAAATACAAACTTAAATAATCATATCTACTATATATAACTTATATATACTTTTCTATTCTTGAAGATAGGTCCAGCAATAGTACATCTGTACATCACTTGCGTATTCGGAAGAGGAATATACATCCAGAGCATCACTCCCGAACGTCCTTTACAGCAAAAGATCGTCCACCATTTTTACTCCCCATCGAGATTTTCACAGATATTTGCCAGCATTTTACTGTTATTGGAAGCCACCATGGTAAGATAATTATACAACCCAAAAACCAAGAATTACAAGAAAAATTAGAGAAAAAAAATGATTAATATTTACACTTAACAGCTTGAGCGAGACATTCTCATGTGGAATAATAAAAAATTCTTGAAGGCACCACTTTTAGTTACAGAAGATAAGTTTATTGTAAGGTTCAGGAGATGGTATTCACAATTTTATAGCGAAAACAGCCCAAGATTAACGAGGAGGATCCCAAATTGGTGAATTTCTGTAAATAAAATGAACTTGTTTCAAGAGATTTTTTGAACTTTTCAATAAATAAAAGTAGTGTTTTTTGTTTTCTTCTGTCCAATATAAATCAATTCTTCAACCTTCTTATATAGGGGTTGCTGTAGAACGTGATCTTAATTATCAAATATATATATAGTCTGTTAGCGCTAGGAAAGCATCCTGACTACTATCACATGATCAACAGACATGTCTATTTTTATTGGTAAATAAAATTAATAAGTTTTAATTACGATAGAATAATATAATTATGCAGTATTGTACTACACTCTCCTGTAATTCGAAAGCCCCTATTTGTGAAATGAGTCCGTCCTGTATGATGTCATTGCATTACTTTGCAGTATCTTCCTAGCGCGAACAGACTGTACCAATGCAATTTTATGATAGAAACGTGACATTTGCTTTCTAATAAAGCACATATTTTTCTAAGAAATTGTATTACTAAAATATTGTACATTAAATAAAATTAATAATAATAATAATAATAATAATAATAATAAATATGTTAATGCATCAAAATTTAACTATTTTTTGCTTTAATTTTTAAACATTTTCTTCGATTCATTAAAAAATAATAATAATTAAGAACTCATATTTGAGAATTCTCATTTAAAATTTCTTATAATATTTTGTAAACGATAAAATATAAACAAACATTAAATAAAATTTTTAAAAGAACGAACTTGAGATATTCTAAAAATACTTTTTCTTAGTATAAGTGTTATAGAATTAAATACTTCCATATATATATATATATGGAAGTATTTAATTGTATTGTGTATATTGTGTATATATATATATATATATATATGTATATACCCATTGTGTATATATATATACACAATGGGTGATCGGTTAACGAACATAATCCGTTCCAAGACTTTGTTCGCTATCCGAATTGTTCGTTAACCGATTATCGATTTACCATAGGTTTTAACGGGAATTTGATTAATTCGTTCTGGAGACCCCCAAAAATAAAAAAATATATACTTTCTTACTACGTTTATTTATATGTAATAATAAAAATACATACATACACAGTCTTGCGTTTTTATTAGTCATGTTTTTTCCGTTTGAAAAGGTTAAATAATCTGTCTAATGTCGATTGCTTTTCTCTCTTCTTCAGGATTTTTCGTAAGTAATTAACAGCATTGCAATTGTAGAAATCCCCAAGCCTCAACCTGGTTTCGATGCCATTCTAAGACCGTTGTTCTGACATCGTCCCACTTCTTCAAAGGATCTTTAACAGATATCGGCATTAATCCTCTTTTTCAGAAGAAAACATATCTCGCCGAGTTTCTTGGTGTTCTTCATTCAAGAGTTCTTGGCGTTCTTCTGTCGTCAGATCCGTTTCGGGTTCCATTATGAACTCTTCGATGTTCTTTATTTCTCAGATGTGATTTTTGTTACTTCTTTAGCCACTTGAGTCTTCTTGATTATACAGTGTTTTTCTTAAATAAGATTGAACTGCGGCCTACTGTAGACCTGTTCACGCCATACTGCCCAGCAACATTAGGCATCTTCTGCCCACTCTCTACTTTTGCTACTATACTCTCATCTTTCGAAAAGAAAAACTGATGCAAAACTTAGTAAGATTTTCTTTTGAAGATATTGCTTATCTCAATAACAACAAGTATTTTCTGATACATCCAATGCAATATTCTCTATAACGATTTCTTAGCAACGTAGCAGGAATACTTCAAAACCAATTATCGATGATAAGGCATGGTTTTAAAGCTAAAATATCGACAAAAAATTCCAAGCACGCCTTACAGTACGAGGTATACGCTACTTGAACATCACGACATTAGCGGCATCTCGTGCTAAAACCCAGAACTACGGCTACGGAATCGTTCTGTAATTAACTGCCAGTCGGAGATTGGGGAGGCCATAACAACGGTTTGTCGCGACCATTCGGAATAGAAAACGAGACAAAATTGTTTCATTAATAATGTTTAATTAAAAATTAATATTGTTCGCGTAATTTTGACTCACCCTGTATATCTATGAAAATATATAAAGCGAAAATGTTTGTTTGTTGAGTTAATCTCGGAATCTTCTTAATCGATTATTAAAATTCTTTCGCTATTGGAAAGCTTATTCGTTTCAGAAGAACATAGACTATACATTATATTAATATTAAAAAGGGAAAATTCACGAAAAAGATTAAAAACATCTTTAGTATTTGTCTCTCATCGTGGTATCGTGATTTGTCTGCTCTCTTCCAGGTCTTTTTCTACCTGGTGAGCTTTTTAAAACTTATTATTTTATCTATTTGGTTTCGGGTACTTTATGAGAAACATGGACTACCATAAAATTCGGATCCACCAATCTGAAACCTTTCGATCGATCCGGACAATTTTGTGTAGTTAGTCTTTATAATCCCCCCAAAAGCCACTTTAAAACTAAGAACCTTACTTTTCCCCTATGATTTCATCATCATAAATTGACAAACTCTTTGACTGACTTGGACCATATTTTGCAAAGTTACTCTCTGCTACCTTGTGGGAAACATATGCTACATAATAACGAAGATAACTTAGCTTTCGTCTTGAGTTTCCAGGCAACGTTGATTATTCTTTGCTACTATAAAATAAAAAAAATAGGCCTACGGAATAAAATTTAAGTATTGTATTTTGACAATCTCTGTAGAGACAACGGACAAAATGTAGAAAAACGGGACACATCTCGTATAAATGAGTCTTGTGGCCATCTTAAGCAAATTACTTTCAGTATAAAGATTTTGTAAAATTTCACATTGCGGCTTTCAGAAAACTGTGGAAAATCTAATTAAATAAACAATGACTTTAAATATAAGTTTAAAAATTAAGTTTAATTTAAAAAATTAAGCACTTTTTTACGATTTATGTTATGTTATGTTATTTTCCTCAAATTATGCTTCTTTACATTTATCTTGGAATTTCTCAACACATCTTTTCCTTAGTTTCTGGTTTTATTTCCTTATAAATATGGAGGATAAACTCGTTTCTGTTTCAGAATGATCATTTTTATCGTTAACACACACCGGTTTTTTTTTATTCATTATCGATCATGAAAGAATCGGAAGAAGAACCATCAATTTGAAACTCTTTTAAAACATCGATCAACGACTGTGGCTTCGGAATGTTTTTACTAACAGCAGTGTTTCGGATAGTCTTGTTGAATGTAGGTGAATCAACAGAATTCTGAAAGACTTCTCTCATTTGACTCAACTTTGTTATCTCTATTTCTGGATTTGTAATCAGTTTTTTACTCGCGTCTTGTTTGGTAATATTGGCACGCATATTTACTTGTTCCCTATCTGTGGAGGTCGTCTCATCCTTAGTTTGTGCGTTATCAATAAAATGGTACTTTAATAGATGAGGTTCATATTTCCACACGTTCCAATTATTAAAAAAGTTCATTTTCTTCTGTACTTTCGTTTTGCAATTGTTATAATCGGTTAAATATACTAATTCATTTCCCAATTGCTTGTTGGCTACGTCTAAAACACTACATAACTCACTTAAGTACTGGCTACATTTACCCGATTCACTTTCACATTCGGTGTTTGATTTACCAACAATTTCAATACTTTCCTCGTCTAAAATGTTTTCATGTTCTAATATAACATTATTTTTAGTGTTTTTATTAGTGTTTGAAGCCAGCGGAGTGCACAATTCAACAGTATTATCTACTTTTTTTAATTCTGTAGATTTCGTTTCAATATCTTCACCGAACTCTTGTTCTTGGGCGATGGCCATTTTAGTAATCTCCAAAGTCTCCTTCTTATCACTACTAGAAATTTTTATATTTTGTTTGTCTACTTTCATATTTTGCTCGTTTCTTTTGGGCATTTCCTTTACATTATTCAATAACAACTTTGTTTCTAAAATCTGAGAAGAGCTTTCATTGGTATTTGATTTCTTCTCTGAAACGTCAGGTTCAGTATCACTTTCTGATTTTAGAAATTTTTTCACATTCCAATGAAAATCTTTAACATTTCTATGTCTAGTTTTAGAAGGAAGGCGTCGCTTTCGTGGTTTTCTTTCATTTATTGATATTAATGCCTGTTTTGCATCACTGTCACCGTCATAACTGCCTTCAGTTAATACTTTGTAAATTAATGGAAAATTAAAAAGCACAGCTATGACAACAATACTTATACAAAGAACCGTAAGCAACAATATAATCTTAACGGGTGTTGCAGTTTTGACTTGTTCTATTAAACTCCCATGCCTAAGAGGATAATTATGTCTTGTTTTAAATTTACGTAAAGTTTCGTTTTCTCTTTTCTGCTTGAAATTTTTTGATGCAATTCTTATATGGTTTTTAAGGTTTCTGTAATTAGCTTTCCGTGACTTTGTATGATGTCTTTCCCTTACTGTTTTTCCAATTGCATCCGTTTGTCTTACTTTAGTTTGAAAACGTCTCCTTTCTTTCATTAAATATTTATTCAAAAGTCTATCATGATAAGATTTTGGTAAGATTTTTGAAGATTTATCAGAATTTTTAATGGTATTCTCAGAGTTTTCTGGCAAAGATGCTTTATTCTCAGGACCTTTCATTTTTCTCTCCACGTACGACTCTCGAACGATATGACTTTTATGTTCGAAAATTTTCTTTGTTTGATTATCTCCATTGACTAATATACCAAAGAAAACAACATTTCCAGATGATTTATTTCTGTCGGATTTATCCTTAATTAAATCTTTCTTATTTTCAGTTGAAATGACCTTTTGAACTTTAATCGATTTTCGATCTTTCTTGGAGGCCATATTGTTAAGATAGTGAAAACTATTTAAATCTAACAAATGAGATTGTTGCTTATAATTTTGCTTCATTAAAACATTTTTCTTCGCTAATTGTTTGGTATTTGATTTATTTTCTTCTTCTACATTTGATTTTTCTTTTGGAATGAAACGTTGACCTAATTTCAAATTTTCTTTATCATTTGGTTCTTCAGCATTCAATAAAGATTTTAAATACTTGTAACTGCTGTCCACTTCATTTTTGTCATTAGAAGAAACCTGTGATTTATCTTTGTTCGTTTCTCTAATATTCTTTAATGATTCCTTAGTGTGTTGCTCCTCCAATTTCGATAATTTCGAAGATATTTTATTATTTTTGACACCATTTTGCTCTTTCTCATTGTTTCTATTTGCTCTAGAATGAATACCACGCTGAACCCTTAACTTGTGTGATGTAAAAGGTCTTAAACTTGTCATACTTTCATTGAAAATTGAATACTTCCGATTGTTTTTCCCGAAGGAAGAGCTGAAATTAGATTTGTTATGGCGATACACGCGTATATTTGATTTCTTTTCAATAGTAATTTCGTAAAGAATCGCCATTATAAATAAAAAAATCATCCACTTATAGTTATAATACACTTTCATAACTGTGAAAGTTGAGTGCAATTTTGTTTTCTAAAAAAATATTATATTGAGGTCCTGATTTTCGAGTAATTTTGAAGAGCGGCTGCTTTTGAAACAAAAAATTTAAGTTAGAAACATAAAATTAATAAACTTTTTTCTAAAAGTAATGACAAAATACTTACATATAACCTAAGTTGAACAAGATAATTAATTTTTAATTTGCTTTTGTTTCTATCACTAAGAGAATTTGATATTTTGTTTGCTTTTAAAACGTTAGAAATTTATTTCTGCTTTTAGAACAACCCAAAAGAGTTGGAACAGTTTTGAAATTTAAACTTATAACTTTCAACGAACTCTCATGAAATCAGAAAATGGCTGAATATATTTAAAAAGTTATTATTTTACAGGTTTATTTTGAACGGTATTGAGCATGCAAAACCCGAAACGAATTCATGTTTGTATTAAAAAATATAAGTTCATAGTCAAGCGCGTTTGATGGCGATTTATTGAAATGCGTACCAATCGAAAATGGCGCCTAGGGTACGCATCAAATTTGCGCCCCTTCGTAAATTATCTTAATATAAAAAACAGATACACTAAATAAAACAGTCATAAATCTTACAAAACATATTTATTTTCTATTTTATAACGAAAGTGAGTCCGTAAATCTTTTACACTTACAATTGCAGCTTCCTGGCCTTCTGCGACGCAAAGATATCAATGATGTTTTCGAAATCAGTTTTTCCGTTTCTCGCTCTACACTGAGCAAAGCTAGGTCACATAAGCTTTCTTGAGACATTGTAGCCCTCAAATACGAAAGTATTAATTTTAACTGACTAAAAGATCGCTCACAATTTGCGATGGATACTGCAATTGTGAGCAGAACTTTGAATGGAAATACGCAGATTAGGAAATACACTTTCATCCCCGTACTACACACAATAAATTCAAGTAGCTCTTCAGATTTTTTTATGTTGACGTTTTTTCTTGTAGATATTAGCATTCGATCATCCAATATTTTTTCGTATAACTGTTCCCCGTTAACATCGCAATCATAGAAATCTCCAAATTTTTTACATGTTTTTTTTTTTTTTTTAATCGTCTCAGGTCAGTGCCGTAACACAATGTTTTAACATCTAGAAGAAATCCAAATCTGGCGTCAGTTTCATGCAAACTAGTAAACCTTTCACTCATTCCACACACAATAGGATCCAGCGGTCCCTTTATTACTCGTTCCATTTCTTCTTTAGCGGTCAACTCTGCGTCCGACGCATTCTTTCCAGCCATACATATTTTTCGCCTTCGACGCCTTTCCGTGGCTACATCTTATTCCTGGCAAAGATTGAATCCTCTTTTTAATGCCTCATTAACTAACTTCTCTCCTTCATTTGAAAAATAGTCTCGGAGGGCTTTTATGTCCAAGGCAGCATTATGAAAATTCATAGTAGGCTCCTGGAACTGTTTTCGGACACGGTCAATGGAAACGAGTACGTCGTTCAAACTCCTAACAACGTTAGAAAATTGTAGGACAACATGCGATTATTAAGTCTGACCTCACTTCTTCTTTCAGTGGTTTGATCGCTATCGTCTGTCATATCTTGGAGAAGGTACAGCATATCTTCAAGATATTTGTGAACTGGTTTTACTGCTTCAACCCTTGCACTCAGGACCTAATTTAGACCTTCGATGCCCTAGGCAAAATAATATTTATGGGCCCCTTTACAAATTTTGTATTACTACAAATATAAATAAAATTGTATTATTTAAAATTAAAGTATTTTTATTTTTACATTTGAATATCTTACTTACATTGTATTTTTGGAGCTACAATAAATTTATGCAGCAATAAACATTATATTTTTTCTCAACAAGCACTGCTTTATTCTGAACTTCACCGAACAGATCTAATTTGCATATACAAACATTATCTAATTCTCAGTGATGTTAGATGTCGGAGCAGTAGGTAATATCATTCTAAATTATTAACCCTTGAATATGGCGCTAATAATATAGTAATTCGCAATACTAATAAAACAATGGCACGTTTAAAACCTATTATGGGCCCCAATTAATTACGGGCCCCGCGCAAGTGCCTTGCCTGCCTTGTGCCAAATTAGGCTCTGCTTGCACTCCATCTTGTTTCGGACTCTGATTTTACAATCATAGCCCACAGGCACGCATATTTTGAGTTTTTCCCAGCGCAGAGTGGAATGAGTAAAGAATATGTAAAGAGCTTCAATAGTTCCGAAAAACGTGACCATTAAAGTGTCCTTCTTGGCTGCGTGTACACCGACCAAATTGAGTGAATGATTATCGCAATTCACAAATATCGGCAGATTATTCTTTTCGCTTATTCTTTGGTGAACTCCAGTTCTATTCCCAGCCATCACAGCAGCGTTATCATAACATTGTGAACGACAATCCTGCAGATCCATATCGTCTTTCCCTAGCTGTTTAAGCATTTTGTCAACTAAACTTCCAGCGTCCTTTTGACTTATTTGGATGAAACCAAGAAAGTACTCTCTAATGCGGACTAATTTTCTCTCAAAATCAACCTCTACATATCTCGCTACTTCTGACATCTGCTCACGATGTGCCTGATCAGCAGTCGAGTCAAACATAAGACCGTAGTATTTTGATTTGCGTATGCTTCGCAATAAACTTTGACGAACAGTGATTGCCATCAGATGAATGAACTCATTTTGAACTTGAGGTGAAAAGTAAGATGTGTTCCGGGATAATTTATAACATGAGTGAGATGGTTAGTCATGACGGGGTCGAATATGGCCAAGAGTTTTATTAATCCAAAGAAATTACCAACATTGCTGGATTCGGTTCTATCGCATGTAGTGAGTGACTCCCTGTGACCTCGTAATGCAAGATTTTGAGAAGCAAGAAATTTGATGCAGTGAAGGATTCTTTTTAATACCTTACGCCACTTTTGTTTTTCTGTCTCGATCTGGGTTTGAAGTTCAGCGTCGATGATCCCTTTATTATCTGCAAAATTTCTTTCCATTTCCTTCCACTGGGTGAAACACTCACAATAGTTCTTCGCATTTTGATGTGTAGTGAGCCTTTCAGGTGCTTTCCAGTGGGTAAATCCATCTTTGTGCTCTAATGAAGATTGATTATCTAATCGTGAAAAGATAAGACAACAGATGCAAAAAGCCGACTTTTTAGTTGGGGATAGACTAGCCATGAACGATTCAATTCTTCACCGCGATTTCCTAGTTTTTTCTTAAACCAATCTTTGTTCATACAACATGTTATTTCTTGGCAAGAAAGGGCCTTCAGTATTTTGAAAATATTTTGAACCCAATTTAATTATTTCTGTTTTTAAATAATCTAACAAAATTACTTTCCCTGTATTCTTATCAAACTCAAGAAGTCCAATATCATTCTGGTATGACAGTCATTGGAGTTTCGACATCATTCACCTATCACCTGCGCCAACTTTTTCTCCTACTGAAATACTAATGTTTTTTACAAATTCTTTTGTAGCCTTAGAACTCGTAGCTACACAGCTCGTTATCTCGTTACACTCTGAATTAGCTAAATTGATAACTTTCTCGTCTATTGCTGAGTTAGTCTGAGATTCTTTGGATTCCTCAGCACCTATCAAACATCCTGTAGCGGACTTTTCAAGGTACTTCTTGAAGTACTTACTGGATTTCTGAGCTGCTTCCTCCTGCAATTAATTTCTGCAATTTTCATTCTTTTCTGTCCTTCAGCCCCAGACTCTTTTTGCTTTGAAAATATTCGTTTCATATTGTGTTGTTATAATTGAGAAGTAAGGGCTCCAAAATAACCTGAAAAGAATAATATCAAAAGATATATTTATAAGATAAAATAAATTGTGTAATATAAGCCGCTTTTAAAACTTAAAGATTGGGACATAAAAATAAAAAAATGCATTTAAAATTCTACATTATTGTAAACTATTCGAAACTTTTTCAAATAATCGATTGTGTGTCACTTCAAATTGACTAATAAATAACTATTTATTAGTATCGACCGTGGGAAAAAATATTGATTTAGTTTATGTATTTTTGTTGCACCTATATGAACAACACTTAATAAACGCTAAACCATAAACTAACCTTGGCTTCAATTTTTTACATTTCTTAGAAGTATTAAACTAGAAATTCAATCTTCATACAAGGCGCGAAACGCGGGTCAGGTCATTGAACTTTCCGTATAAACATACTTCATTTTTAATATTGTGAATTTAACTAAATATGTAACTAAAAGTGTCAAATCTATTTATTTAACTAAGCATTCAATTTACAAAATAAAGAGTACAAAATCCATTCGTTTGTTTTTAGATAAGTTTGCTCCTTGTTGTCAAGTGATTCAAAACTACTGGTCGTTTTCCAACTGACCTCTGCAGCGTCGACTAATTTGAAATTCTTAAGTAATTTCCATTGTAACTTTTGAAAATTGTAAATTATATTTGACGAATTTTATAAATTAATACAAAATTTTCCATCTAAAAAATTTAGGGGGCGCTGTTTTAAATAAAAATGGCGGACAGCGTCGAGCAGGATAGTGATGTGAAAACAGAAAGACAAATTAAATTTAAATCGAAGAAGAAAAATTTAAGACGTCGAACCTCGTCTGATAGTGACGAAGAAAGGGAATCAGAAAACTTTAGGTATGTTTCCTAATGTTTTAATGGTTGTATTTTGTGAAGTTTAGTATGAAAATTGATGTCTGTTACAAACGCTCTACTAGTAAGGTTAAGTATATTCAGTTATATCCAGTTATTTAGCATTATTTATATTCTTTCTTTAATTTTAATATATTAAAACCGCCTTTTATTTTCTAAATTAAATTTTTAAATGTTTATGTTCTACTCTAATTAAGAATAATACTTAGACTTGTAAGATGTGAACTCTGAATGAGAGATTTGCTACTCCCAGAGTTATAGGCTCCCCTCAACGAACAAAAATGTCAATGGAACCATACGTGCACATGCGACCCTTTACGAGATATTTGCCTCCAAAGGTCAGTTTTTCCATTTACTGTTACTGCTGTTTAATCTCTGTGCTCTGTTTCATCAAGGCGAATGATGGCAATCCTCAACCATTGCTCTGCATAGTCATACGCTTTGGTCCTCCCTGTTGCTTGCAGCTTGGCACCCGCATGGGGGCAAGCTAAAACTAAAACCATGTGATATTGAGTAATAATCCATGAACGGTCGGGTGGGCTACACGAAGCTGGCATAGTCGCTTGGGCTGGATAGTGAAATGTGATAGTCGTAGTGGAGCAATGCAACTCCCAATTGCCTGCAATCCATAAGTAGGCTGATTTTGGGGGAGATATGTCACAGTGTGTCTCTTTCTTTCACCTTTTTGCTCCTATGGGTATGGTCTATGGCTCTGATAAGATCCAATTGTCTCATTTAGAAGTGTAATTGTACCCTTAGGCTGATGTACTCTAGTTCAGAATAATGTTTTTTTACTCTGCCTGCTCCCAATGTTGTATATCATCACAATTAACAGAATCTATTATGAATAATATGAATCAGATTTAAGTTGTATTGGCAATCATCATGATTTAAAAAAAAATATATATATTTTTAAGATTATTCTGCAGTTTATGAGTATATTTTATCATATTATAATATACAGGATGTATGAGATTTATCTATACAACTTTGATTGCTAATAAATATTTAATTGGAAGTCAGAGAAAACTGTGGAATGGCTCGTCTTATGTAAAAACTCTGAAACTCTCAAGAGTGTTGGTAAATGGTAGCAAATATACAATAATATGCTCGTTTCTGTTGCTACATCCATTGTTATGAAACAGACAAAACAGTGTGTGGAGGGATTTGTCAAAATAAAATTGGACGTACAACGTTAGGGGAAGTTTTGAATACATTACGAGAGACCCATATTGACGAGACCATCGATATATGCTTAGTACCAAAAGTTTAAGGATACCGGAAGCGTAGTTCATGAGACAGGAGTTGGGTGGCCGTGCACAGGTGATGAATATGTTGGGTACCTGTGGCAGACCTTTCTTTGCAGCCCTTGTAAATTAACATGAGCTTCAGGAAATCTGCTGTAGTTACCTCATTCGGCAATGCATCCTATGAAAACAAATGCAACACCTGCAGGCAATTATGATAGATGACAGGGTTGTGCATAAGAAATTTACTGTTACCCTGCTTTACATGATTGACAGGGATAATATGTTTCTGGAAAGATTCATATTCTGAGATGAAGTTATTACATTTCATGTATTGGGAAAAATTAATATGAAAATATACAGATTTGGAGATCAGAAACTATTCATATATGCTAGAAAACTATTGCATCATCAGGGTATCATCTTTCAAGAAGTCAGTGCTTTGCCCCACTAACCTCAATTGTACACAAGTCTTAATGTGTACAACAAGTTACACTATCACACAGGCTGTGATAGTGCAATTTGTTGGCCACTTAGATCATTGGATATCATGACTTGCAATTTCTTCTTATGTTGTACATACAACACTCTGGTGGCTTATGTCAAAAAATTTAGAGAATCACATTTACAATTGAAACTGTTGACATAAACTTATTGCAGTGTACATGGCTAGAATTGGAGTATTGCTTGGATATTTTTCATTGACTGACATTTAATTTGAGTGTTTATGACTTTTATCAGATTCAGGATATTTATTATTTAATAGTAAGGTTGTACAGATAATTTTCATACATAATTACATTTAATAAGACTTACTTCGGACTCGAAACCAAAACAGTGCTTGAATGAAAATATAGTTCACTTCACGCCAGCCTTTAGAAATTAAAATTATGACACTTACGTGTTGCGGCGTTATTGACAGCGATTTGTTAAATTTTAGGTATGTTCGCTAGTACTTTCAACAGTTTACGACTGTCGTCTTCAGGCGAAATCGAATACCTTTGTTTTCGAATTGATAGCTTTTAACGGACTTTTCAAATTACGTAATGCACGAGATCGGAATGTAGAACAAATTAATAAAATTGAATTAATAAATATTTTTTAAAGTAACTTGCTGTAATAACTTGAACTCCCCAAATCATATAAATATTGATTGATGGTGCCGTATATGGTGGTAGAATAAAATTAGATCACAAAATTATAACTTGGATTGTTTAAATAAAGTTATCCATAGCTGTGGTATTTCCAACGTCGGCGCGTTGCACGGCAAAACAGCAGATATGTACAGGTTTTCCCATATAAATATTTGTCTACGATCATTGCAATGCTTAAGTAATTTAATGTTGTTCCAAAGTGGAAGATAATTTTGGTCTAGAACCTTTTTCGCTAATTCTGTAGCTGGTCTGTTGTTTCTAATATCTTCTTGATGTTCGAAGATACGAGACCGCATCATTCTGCTGGTAGCTCCAATATACATAATTTCCTCCCCTGATGTTGTATGTTTTAATGGAATTATATAAACCCCCGATTTTTCATTCAAGGTGAGAATGTCTCTGTCGTTGCACAATGTTCTTCGTAGTGTCGGTTGAGGGGTTATAGGCAATATAAAACCATGCTTCCTGAATATGCGCGTTATTTTTAGTGAGATGGTGCCCAAGTACGGTATTGGAGGGTTTATTATCTTTAGGTTTTCTTTGTTGCTGAGGAAAGATTTTGGAAATAATTTATTTATGACCCGGTTGTAGAGATATCGATATTTGGAATTAGAATATCCGGCATTGTGCATTGCTCTTTTGATGATTTGTAATTCTTCATCAATTAATGCCTGGGAGGATGGAATGAGGAGCGCTTTCTGAATAAGCGAAGTAATAGCAGAGTTGACGAAGCTTGTGGGTTGGAAAGCAGTTACAGGGATAATATCTGGTCCTCTGTTGTTTTTATGGTGTACCGCAAAAGTTAGCTCCAGAGATCTGTGCACTTCTAAATCTAAAAAGGAAATTGTATTATTTTGCTCCTCTTCTACAGTAAAATTGATAGAAGGATATATTGAAGCTAGCATTTGAATAAATTTGTCTAAATCCTCTGCAGAGCTATCCCATGC